TGAGAAGAAATACTTTGAGGAAATAGAGGACAAAGTACTTGCAAGAAATTACACATAGGAATAGACGGACAGACGGGCTAGGGTAAATCGATTAAGTAAGATACTTGAGGTCTGCTACGCCTTCTTCGTTCTATTACATACATATATATTCACATTCAATGGGTTCAGGGCTCTTAATAGTTTTCATTATTAAGCTTTACGACTAACGTGACAGGGTGTGAAAAAAGCAGAAATCCAATTATTTTTACAGTATTTAATTATTCAAGACTGTGAATAATAACAATAAATCTGTATTTTATGGATATAAAAACAAAAGTAGATTAATATTCTGTTATGCTATAAAAACATTGCCTTAAGCTTTTATGCATTTGGCTGCGTGGAAAGTCGACCGGAATACAATTATCCTGTGCTTTCACTCCAGTTGGCGGCTCCTCTTCAATGTGGTTTTGGCGTCGTTGTCGAAGGGACGAGACTCGGCCATTTTTCATTCTGAGGTCATAGAATATTTCGAGCTCCTCAATTTTAGTGAACAACATTTCAAAATCTTTTTCGGCATTCAGTAAAAATTTGCATCGTATTTCATAACTTCCCAAATAAAGACAGTTGAAAAGCCTTTGAATGCGGAATTCGAGCTGTCTCATAACATATTTGCTTGTCAGTTCGGTCATGGCGAACACATCGAATGCCACGTTGAGGCCACGTCCGGCTGCGCACTTGAAGATTTGGTCGGAATAGTGCTTCAGGAACTCCATATACTCCTGACAGCAGCCTACGTCGCCCTTAAAGTTCCAGTTCTGCAAAACGAATCGCTGGACATCGGCGTAGTATGTGAAGGTCTTTTGGGTAGCGAGCAAAATGTTTTGCGTATATTCTAGGGCTTCGTCAATGATCTCAGAAAACATGATGTGAAAGAATTCCATTTCTGCAAAATAAGTAGTTAAAAGCATTTTGACTGGAATCGGCTGCGTCGATGGAATCTGTCGGAGCTGCAGCAATAGCGTATAGCTTGAGTTCTTCGCAACTTCGTAGGAAGTCTCGGAATCGCGTGCAAATATTCTAGCTGCATCGGCTGCTGCATAGAAGAACTCGGACAATTCGTGTAACTTTGTTCTCTGATGCTCTGTATTTAGCTGATTTTCATGTCCTAGCGAAAGAACATTTGACATTGTCAGATTTCTCTGAAGATGCTCTCGGAAGTTCCTCAATTGATTTTGAAACGCTTGCTTTGAGTCCTCCGCTGAACGCATGGCATCGTAGAATTGTATCGGTATATACTCCCCCTTAATCGCCTGCGACCATTTGTCGTGTCTCGGAATGGGTTTGCCTATGTATTCACCTGATTTTACGGGCTGTAACGCGCCCACAACACATAGCAGCCATAAAGCTAGATAGTTCCAGTGGAAGGTCATTTACTGCAGTAGGAGGAATGAGGAAACTCATATATTACTATTCAGCTACCAATTATATATAATTAAAATAAATTACTTCAACTTTTGTTCAGATATTGGCAACGTCTATCGACACAACACAAAGCCAAATGACAGAATATACATGTGGATACAAATATAGAACATATGTATATGCTGTAAGCAAAGTATTAAAGATCTCTGGATCTAAATATAGCACCTATTTAAATTGAATCGAATTGAATGAATGAAAACATGAAAACCAAAATAATAGCTACTAGTATAATTATTATTATTTTAATATATATACTGAATTTTTTACAGAAACAATTTGAAATATTTTTAACATTCATAATGGTATTATAGATTCAGTTTTACTGTCTGAAGATCCCATGTCGCTAGACTTAATTTCTAGATCCATAAATCATTCATTATATAAAGCGATGAAATTCTAAACAAACTAAATATCCTGTAACCTGATTCGTTTGACTACGATGTAATACTATATAATAAAACACATGAGGAAACTAAACTTTTCCACTTCCTAGACTAATAGCCATGATATTTAAAAGTAATTTATGTTTATATATGTAAATGTATATGGGCAGTTTGATTTAAACAAAGAAAAAAGCAAAATAATCAATAAATACATTCATGAAGATTTTAAAAAGGGAATTGAATAAAACTGAATGTCTGGTTTCATAAAAAGCAACGAATATGTTTCATTCACAAAAACCCAGGTGAAGGCGATAAAAAATAATGAAACTAGCTAATGAGCTAAAGAGTCTGGCTAAAGTTATTTTCAGAAGAAAAGTAAACATAAACAAAATTCTTAAACATCCCGAAGACTATATAAATTTGTGTTTCGAAATTCTGAATTGGTTCTGCTGCTAGAGGTTGATCAGGAAAGAGCATTACGATATCTGTTGAGTCTGCAGTAATTGCATAAAATTTGTGAGTTAAAAATCCTTTGATAGACGGATTAATAGTGATAAAAAAATTACAAAGAAATTTGTATACTATTAAGAAATTCCGTTATTTATTTATTATGATTTTCATTGATAAATTTTTTTATTTTTCAGGAGAGATCCACTCTAAATGCAACTATGCGCACATACAAAATCACACTATGTCAGATTTGAATACTACGAAGACAGAAATTCTTAGCGTCCCAGATCCGGCCAGAACTTTGGAAACTGTTGACCAGGCGATAGAAAAGAAAGATGTTCAAGCACACGATAAAGCAAAGGCTGCTAGCTATAGCTGTGATGACGATGACGACGATGTTATCATTGTTGAATTACTGCAAGGTTGTGAGCCCGAAAGACCCGAAACGACCAATACAAAGTCAACAATACTTTTGGACAATCAGTTAGAGAATATACATATTGAATCTGAAGATTTAAGTCGGGAGTATTCTACAGATATTAAGAAGCCAAATATGCAGTTTAACGGAGGCAAGGGGTATCAAAACAAAACGCCGGTTAACGTTGGAAATCACGATACTGAAAGCGCAATCAAAAACAATTTTGTAAAGGAAAGCACAGTTTGTCAAAGCATAACCGTACGCACTGCAGAGTCTTCAGTGTCCAGAAATGAATCCGTTGAATCTTGTGGCTCCAAACAGGGCCCTCTCACCCTGCTTAAGTCCCAGTCTCTGGACCTATACAATGAGGATTGTGCTGGCCTGAATATTGATCAACAGTTACACAATCGAGTTCTTCCTAATATCACAGAAAATCGGACTGCTGAGAGCCAACTCCAATCAAACGATGAGAATGTGGAGCGGGGTCAAGGCGACGGCTTGAACAGATCGACTGGAGAAATACGTCAACGTCCATCACACCGCCCAAACATTGCGACAGCAGCGTTTCCGAGCACAGACTCTCGGCCAATTTATCCAAATGTTCCATATAGCCCGTATGGTAGTCCCTTCGGAAGTCCCCGATCAGTACGGCGTAGACCTCCATTACGTGAATCCCGACGAATATCTATTGAGAAATCGGGAAGTTTCCTTCAACTGAATCAATATAAGCTTTTGGATCAAATAGGACAGGTATTTGGCATGTAATTTGTTGAGAAAATGCTAAAGATAGTTTTCATTGGCAGGGTTCATACGGTCTTGTGAAGTTGGCCTATTCTGAAGAGGATTCGACACATTACGCCATGAAGATTCTCTCTAAGAAGCGTCTTTTGCGACAAGCCGCATTCATGCGTCGCGGTCCGAAGCAAGCCACATCTCCGCTGGATCGGGTTTATAGAGAAATCGCAGTTTTAAAGAAACTCGATCATCCAAATGTTGTCAAGTTAGTGGAAGTGCTGGATGATCCAATGGAGGATTCGCTTTATATGGTTTTTGAGCTCGTTAAAAAGGGTGAGGTTCTTTCCATACCCACGGACAAACCATTGACAGAAGAGCGTGCGCTGAGTGTGTTTCGAGACTGTTTACTAGGATTAGAGTATTGTAAGTATGGGAAACCGGTGGTACCGCTGATGTGATCTAATCTCTTGTCTACAGTACACTATCAGAAAATTATTCATGCGGACATTAAACCTGGAAATTTGTTGTTGACCGAATGTGGACATGTCAAGATAGCTGATTTGGGAGTTTGCAATGAGTTTCTGGGAGAGGATGCTACAATGAGTAATGGAGCGACAGGTGGAACGCCAGCTTTTCGAGCACCTGAAACTCTTGTACTGGGCAAGGTATGCAATTAGAAAAATATTACATCATAATGTGCTCAAAATATGTTTTCTTTTCAAATAGAATATGTACTGCGGTCGGGCAGCGGATATTTGGGCCTTGGGAGCAACATTATACTCTCTAGTTTATGGAAACGTTCCATTCATAGCTAACTCCATACCCTTGTTGTATGAAAAAATACGAAACGATCCAGTGGTATTTCCTGGACAGCCAAAAATCAGCGACGATTTGCAAAACTGCATTTTGCGCATGCTTGAAAAGGATCCAGCAAACCGAATAACTTTGCCACAATTAAAGGTAGACCCAGAGCATTGATAAAGAGAAATATATATGTATTAAAAATGTATTCCTAGACGCATCCGTGGGTGACCAGTAACGGATCCTATGTCTGTCCAACTGAAGACGAAAATTGTTGCCTGGTACAAGTGGACGATGAAGATATTAATTCTGTTGTGCGCAGTATTCCAAAGCTTGATACGCTTATCTTAATCAAAACGATGCTTAAAAATCACTCCTTTGTAAACCCCTTTATGAGGGGCATCTCCGGTAGGGCTCCCCAGCCAGGCGGTTCCAGGCTTGAGAAATTTGTCAAAGCCGGTAGATCGAATTCAGCACCTGGGTCGTATCACATACCATTGGACAGGTAAAACACGTATATTTTTATGTATTTATTTTTTTTTTTAACTTTAAAATATATAATTGAAATTTAATTGCAGGGAGCCATCGATGGATAACGTACTTCCGTCGCTGACTGAACATTGTTCTAGCCAAAAAAATGAAGAAACTTAATCAAATGCAAAAGAATGTTAATCAAATAGCCAATGATATTAATAATACCAGGGACCGAAAAACAAATTTAATTATATGCACATTTTTAGCTAAAAATATAATTAAGGAATATTGTCTAATCATACATAAAATGCACAAAGTGAGCGTGTTTCTTGACGAGCAATACAATAAGCCCTTCAAAGGTATCATAGTTTTGTCAGGTATAAGGCATTAATGGTACAACTCGTACTACTATATTTATAATATATATTATCGAACACTTTGGCTTTTTATTGCAGGCAATAAATCTGTATAGAAAGTTAAGTAACTGCATTGAACCATCACTGTATAATTAGAAACATATCTTGCACATACCCAATGCCTGCACGCATTGATAATACAAATATTTATCCTAATTCCAGTTTTAGCCATTAGTTAAAAATAGTTATTAGGTCTTCTGAAAATATTATTTGTCTGTTACCGTTTAGGTCGGTAGGCTCTGTTAAGTTCTGTTTTATACGTACTTAAAGAGTTTATAGGTACTTTATTAATTATAATATTTCCTTAATTTATAATTTATAAGTTTTTTTAAAGGCTCCAGGATTTTAAATGTATTTCTGAACCGATTGCTTTGTTATGTCAATATATATTTCTAGAGCCTTCGTCCGTTCTCTCTTGTAAACTAATTACAAATTGTTGTTATTGAATAAAAATATATACATGTACTTCGTATAGTTAATATATATAATAACCAGACTAATCAAAACTAACCAAGTAAAAACATAAATTATTGTTTCTGTGTGATATTGTGATGCGGTCTTAAATCTAAAAATCAACTAAGTTAAATATTAAAAGAAAAACAAAAATTGGTTGAATAGATTTAATTTAAATATACCTAACTTTTGCTGTCGTTAAAATTTGTATAATGCATTATAATTATGTTTAAGAAATTTGTGTAAGTGCTTCATTTAATAAGCAGTTTTAGCTGTATTATAAAATTGTGTTATATGATGGAATCAAATTAATATTTTTAAATTTATTGTGAATCACAAAACCATATGTTATTAAGATTATTCTCGAAATATACAGCTTCATTTGAGTTTCGCTATTCATGTCTTAAAAATGTTGTAAAGATTCAATCAAAAATATTTTGTTTGCTTACAAATTGTAAAAAAAAAAAAAAAAACTGTTCTTTGTTCTACATGCTCAAATGCTGACATTAGAAAGCATGCCTAAATTTGAATTGTGATATTTTAGTATAACTTAGAAACTATCTGAATTGTTTCAGGTTGCTGTAGAGTCCATATACTGGGATGATATTAAATGACCTATTCATAAATATTGGATGAATAGATATAAAAACATCAGATATCAGTAGTTAAATTTATTATATTTAATTATTCTGTATAAAATTGCATTTAATCGAAGCCCATATTCAACTCTCTAAAATCCGACTATTGTCAAATATAAAATTAGAAATGTATAAATAAATAAATTTGTCTGCATAGCAAAAATATAACCATTTGCTTGAACCAACATTTGTAATTAAATTAATCAAATTAAATTAATATTCATAAAACAAATAGGCAGAAAAAAAAGAATCTAATAAAAAAATTTCAATACGATTTAATTTTAAATATTTAAATTAAATTAAATTAATATGATATACGATGCATTGATCGCTTTATCAGTGCAAAATATATTTCCATTCAAAAAAAGCTCTGATATAAACGTCTCGTCAAGTAGTTAAGATCGAACGGATTATTTTTTGAAATATTGCATTCAAAATAGTGTAGATTAATTTATATCAAACTCAAACTGCTACTCAACGGTTGCGAATGTTTTTACAATATTTCCCATTATATTATTTGCTAATAATATTATTATTATGTTTATGTAATAAGATTGCACTTGTTTTGTTTAAGTTGGAAATTCAGGAAAACCTTTAATTTTAAAATTAAGAAACTGAAAAGCTTTAGACTCTGTAATTAAGTTCTAAACATTTTAAGATCAATTTCCAGAATGAATGTTGTGATTTCTCAGCCAAAGGTCCAACGGGAAATGTCACCTATAATAAGTTACTTTATTAAGAGAGTCTATTAAATATAATTATAAATATAATTGAGAATAAAATTGGTGATAATAATATAAATTGAATAATTTCATTTATTGAAGCCCTAAATCTAAATTAAATATTCAATGACATTTTGTGAAATTAGTTTTGGGACCAACCAACCAGTGGCACAATCATACAACGAATTACTTTATTTAATAAGCTTAGTAAATAATATTATTTATATATATAATAATAATATCGCAATATTTCACAACACTAGCTTCTCACACTTTATTGGTAGTTTTAAAACAATTTCAATACTATTAGACACAAACATTTCATTTATGTCATTCGTCCTTAGGCATTGCACAATTTTTTAATAATACGCCAAGTAAATAAATGCACATATGTATATATAAATATACCGAAAGTAGCGTGTTTTGGGCAGGGATCTAATATTATTTATAACGTTAATAAATGTTTTCAGCACGTAACGATCTTAGTAAAACTGGCACCATTTTGTGTTTGAGTTGGGAATTAAGGAATTGGAGCTACGATCTGTACCAAATATACTTTAACGTCACTCAAAATATACACCCAGCCCACCAGTAGAGCTTTAAACCTTAGCCTGTTTTAAGGAAATTTTCTTATGGCCTACAAGCAGTCCTAGTTGCAAGGATCGTTGAAAGTACTCGATACTTGCTATACTACTTTGAACAAACAATGGCTACTAATATGCATAGAACTATTGAACTCTTCATAATATTGTTGATTTCAACATTTGGCTATCAGTTCTAAACTGTTTTCCACATTAAAAATGGAGCACAACATTCTAAATAGTCTCAATAGAGGATTTTATAAAAATCTTGTTAAATAGTATATGTATGAATAGAGGTTAGGAAGAAAGAGTCCTTTTCACCTTATTTTATAGTGTTTCTTATTCAAATCGATTGCATTTTTAAAATACTCCATGAAGAAAAAAAGCTGTTTCTATTTTAGTCCCGAAATTGCTCCAGAGATATTGTTATGGCGCGAAATGATACAATTTATTGTTAATTTATTTTACTTTAGTTAGTGAGTCTACTTAGTTTTAAACGAAACGTGTAAAGTGAAAACATAATAAAGCAAACCCAAATATTATTAATCGATTGCGCTTTATTAAGTGCACATCGATAACTTGCTGTTCCGATGACTCAATAGTATTTTGATACAGCTGGGCAACTTAAGCGAGATTAATGAAAGCCGAATTGGTCTAAAGCCAGATGTTTATAAAATTATCGCTAAATATCGCTGATTTTATAATAAACTAGATAGTAACTATGGGTATGTATTGCATTACGCACTACTAAATGGAATGTACAAGAAGAATTACCTCTGTGTGTTTAGTGCGTGGGTGCGATGTGAACAGTAATGTTTTTTGGGCAAATGTATCTGAAAATTGCATTGCAATGCACATTGTAAATGCGTAATTCAATACACATAATCAAATTCAGAAAATAAAACACTAACCTGTTTCTTTAAGGTTGCAATGATGTCGATTCAATTTCAAAACTGGAAAAGGACCTTGCTCTTTTAAAGGAAGAATATAACAAACTTCAGCGCAGCTATGTGGAATTGGAGCGGAAATATAATGAAGCTATTGTGTCGACTTCAGATCTGGAGTCTTCAGGAGAATTTAGCAGTTTTGTATCAAGATTGGCACTGACGACGGCCTCTTTATATGGACGCTCCATATATTCCGATCTGAACATTAAGACCAATTCCAATGGGACAATAATGCCGGCCCACAAATTCGTACTCCATGCCCGGTCGGACAAATGGCGTAACGAGGCATTAGCCACTGCCAAAGAATTAGATTGGAGCGATTTGGATGAGGATATAGCCACAGCGTTGCTACGCTGGATTTATACAGATATTATTGACTTGCAGCATGATCGATTGACCTTGGGTCTGCTGAGAGTGGCGCACCGTTTTTCCTTACCTGGACTGCTCGGGCTCTGTGAGAGAGCTCTGGTGGCTTCTGTGGGCGTACGATCTTGTGTGCGATTCTATTGTGTGGCCGAAGAAGTGGGCGCAGCTAGCCTACTTGAGTATTGCTCCGGCATTATATCGACGCACTGGGATGATCTAACTGCACAGGATTTCGAACACATGTCTGGACCGCTTCTCTACAAAATGCTCAAAAACAAAACCAAATATCCTCTACACTCAGCCGTCCGACTTTTGCGCGAAGATGTTGTTTGCTTGTGCCTTGCGGAGAACAGTAATTCGGTAAGTGACAACAAAGTCAATGGAAACATTGCAAATTTAAGGAACGTTTGCGATATTAGTTCAGTTTATCGCTTTATAATTTAAATTTAATGTTTTC